AAGCGATCACACGCTATCAAGAATTAACCTACACAAGACTTTAGTTTCCTGCACACCAGTCACTAGTGTATTTTTATGTTAGAAGGCGGCAGTGCCTCACTTTTTAACGCTCTAAACTCCCCCAGCAGACACCCAACTCCTCACATCAAGCAGGAGCTGCAGCGTGGGTTAACCCAGGACAGGGACACTCTGCTGGGAGGGGCTCGATGGACTCAGCGTCCCTTGGCAGCAACAAACACATTTCTGCTGCTTTGACTTTTGAGAGAAGATGCACTATTCCACTAAAAAACCCAAAATCCTGGTCTCTGGCAAGTATCTCAGGTTTTCATTAAAACCCCCAAACCTTCAGGATACACCAGTAACAGGAACAAAACCGATACGGCCGGGCGGACGCGTAAAAACCCCCCCGAGGGTCACCAGATCTGAGTCACTTGGTAACACGGGTTGAAGTCAGAGGAGCAAGGGATCGTACGAACAGTGCAGTCAGCAAAAACCCAGGGTTTAGGGTTTTTTTAACACATTTGTTGTTGTTTTCAACGCGCTAAGGCACCAGGAAGTCACAGTCAGGCAAGTGGGATCGGCCCCGACACACTTACCGGGCGCGAAACGGAGGCGAAGGCAGGATCCAAGTGCCGTGGCGTGAGGAGAGCGCTCTTGAGGGGGCAGCAGCGCCGAGAGCGAGCTGGAGGAGGAGGAGGAGGAGGAAGGGAGCTCTCGCTTCGGGTGGGACGCAGAAAGGCTCGCTGCAGGCATCAGAAATCCACGCTGCTTGTGCGCAGCCGGCAACGCAAAAAGAAACACCAAACCCAACCAGCTTGACACTTGGTTCCGTCGCTTTGAAGACTCCCCTCTCCGTCACTTCAAGAACTGCTCTAAAAAGGCAACTTCCTTTTACCTCCTAAACTTCCTTTCACCTCCTAAAACGTTTCGAAGGCTCCCGTCACCGACGAGACCCTTTTGAAAAGACACGGAGGGCACAGAGACGGGGGTTTACAGCAGGAAGGGACTGCCAGCTCTCTTTAATGGTACATCGCTCTGTGGAGCAGAGAAGTCAGCAAAGCTCAAACCTCGCCGCGTCCATCCGGAATTACACAGCATTTTACACCCTGAAAGCACCGTACAAACACCGCCGCAAGGCTGCCGCCCTCGGGCTTTGCCAAACACGCCAACGGGTCGCGCTTTACCACCAGCCGCACGTTCGTTCCCTTTTCTGGGTATCTCAGGTCTTCAAAGGATTCTCCAGTTTCAGCTTCAGACCGTCCCGGCGAGGCCGGACGCCAGCGCGGCGCCTTCAGCCACCGTCTTGCACCTGGTGGCAGCGTCGCTCGGGGAGGAGCCCTCTGGCAATCGCGGCGAAACGCACGGAAATTTCATCTTCACCAACGCGGTCGGCATTTTCAACGACATCCCAGGAATTTGGAGGTTACTGCCACAGCCAAAAGGGAACGTGGGGTTTTTTTTTTTTCTGAGGCGGACAGAAAGCTCTAAACTACTCCGCGTGCAGCGAAACTCGCCCGCCGCATCAGAAACTCGGTGCCTCGCGCGCGTTTTGAACGGCAACGTCGGCCGCGCCCGGCTCCTCCTGAGGTTCTGCCTCGCCAGATACGGTCGCCAGCACCAGGTTGTCTCCCTTCACCCCCAAACCCGACCACGTGGCATCCCCCGGCTGGACGGGGGCACGGTGGGGGACAGCAGGAACCCTCCAAGCTCATGGCCGCCGCAGCCCCTCGGAACGAGGCTTCTCCAGGATCTCCAGACAAACGTTCGTGCGATTCGTTGGGTGTTTGGGATTCGTCAACGAGGAAAAAACCACAGCTACAAACGCAACAATTTGAACGAACACAGTGTGACGTCAGCTTCTTACGGTAAAGCAGACAAGACATCGTGACTAAGCTACACCTTTCCCGTCTCCTTCAGTCTCTGAACCTCCGAATCCACCTCGAGGACTTAGGGGTCTCCATTCTGGCTCTTACCGAAGAGTCAGGGAAGGGTCACAGGCACCAGGCACTGAACTGCCACAGTCCAAAAGAGACTGGTCTTCACCAGAGACCACGGAAGCTCACGTTTTGATCAACTCCAAGTCCTGCACGCCACGATGATGAAAACACAGCATCCCACGACGCAGAGCTGAGAACCAGGTCTGGGTGCTGAGGCGTCCGAGACTCCTCCAGCCGATCGACCCAGCTCCGGTAGATCCATTGCTCACCCACACTGTCGATCAAATACTCAGACCAGGACAGGAGGATCCTTTTATTCCAAGGGAGAGGTTGCACAGCTCAGTCCGTTCAAGCCCAAGAGACGGTTAGAATTTAAGAGCAACAGAAGCAACACACCTTTCACTCGAATTCTCCGTGACCACTGACGCATAACGCACGCTGCCCGGCCACCACGGCCCCAGAGGAACACAGCGCAGACAGCGAGGGGACAGCACGTTTGCCGAGACCAACAGAACCCTAAACGACACCCAGGGATTTTTTAGTGCAGTGCCAGGTTCAGAATATTTGTGAAAAACAAGGAGGCCTCACGGCTGTGGCTGGACGGGGCCCCCCCAGAGAAGAGTGAACCACTTGTCCTACGGCAACCGGGGGGGACACGAGTCGTGGGGTCTGGGATAACCCACGTCTCCTACCCAGGCTCCCACAGCCAGACCTGGTTGATTAGGGAACAGATTCAACAAAAACCTGTGAAAGTGACAGTGTGTATTTTTAGAAAGGAGGAACTAAGGTTACACTACATCATTCACCGGATCGTTCCACCACTGCTCCGTAAGGTTTACGGCATAAATAAAAAAATGGAGAGGGGGGGAAAAAAAAAAAAAAACCAAACAAAAATAAATACATTGGCTCCTATAAAGTCAGAAGTGGTTTGGGCTGCGTAGTGGGGGGTGAGAGATGGGGGCGAGGGGCAGAATTTACACACTTTGAGACAAAACAGGAAGCGCCTGCAAAGTAGTAGAGGAGAAAGCCAAGGGTTTAAGTGTCCTCGTTCATATCCTGGCTGTCTGTCCGAGCGATTTTCCGTGGTGGCGCCGAATTCTCACCTTCTATTTCCACTTGCTCTTGATCTCTCTTCTTCGCTGCATTCTGTTTGGGGAAGAGAAAGGCACAGTGAAACTCCCCGAAGCCTCAGACGCCGGTGGGAGCTAGTGTCGGTGGAACAAGTTTTTATTTGTAAGAGTTTTTGGACGCAATAATAACCTAACGGACACACGGGAACAAACACTGGCAGGGATTTTGCCCAAAGCCAAAAGGTGCTCCTTCTAGATTGTTCTTCAGATCTGAGGGTGGGACTAAACCACCGTTGATCCCAGCACCTTTGATCTACAGCTCTCAAATACTCCATCAACGTAAGATCTTTCCCGCTGCTCCGCGTCAGTCCCTGACCTTACCAAAACCGCCCAAAGCCTCGTCACACACACTTTCCCTTCAGCTTCAGGGTTCCTCATCATTTTAACCCCTCTCCACGTTCTTCCACCACCTCTGCGCCGCCCAGGACGACCCTCACTGCTTCGACGCCCCCACTAAGTCATCCCCTCGCTCCGAGCGCCCCCAAGCCAGCGATCCCAGCTTCCCAGGCTCCAACGCTAGCTGGAGCGCACGACTCAGCGTGTTCCTCACGGGAGAGCTCCGGTTTTGCCCCCACGGTCCTCCCACAGCCTCCCTGGGGCGGTCACGTTCTGCACAAGCTCCTCTCTCTTCTCCCAGCTCTGCCCTAGCGGTAACTAGAGGCTGAGGCACAGGGAGACCAAGGCCACAGAGGAAAACCGCAGGGAGTGGGGGACGTAACTGCAGGCTCCCAAGTTCTAGACTAAACACGGAGTTAACGCCCCTCAAACCGGGGAAGAAAACGCCGTTTGCCTTCCCTTTTTTTTTTTTTTGCTTTTTTCCAAGTGTTAGGCAGAGACAGAGCCTCCTCGCACCACCTTTTCATCTCTTTGCTGAAGCACAGTTTGCACTTTGCTTTCATCAACCGTCAATATTTCGATTGTGACTGAGATTCAGCTCCATCTCCCCCGCCCCAAGCCAGCAGATCAAGACAAAACGTTAACAAGAAGAAAACACCACCGTACCTTTTTGTCCCACTGCTGGTGTAAATAACGCAAAAGTATATTTGTCTTTTCTGTTACTATGACTGCAAAAAAAAAAAGCAAGAGAAACACACCGAGGTCATTACAAAGACAACTTTTGAAACGGTGCAGCAACCACCACATCACTTCACGTGCCAGACACGGTCCTTCTTAACGGAAGGACGGCGTGCAGAACCCCGATCGCTTAGTAAGGAGAGAGGAAGAGCACAAAACCCAGTAACTGGACATACACTGGGGTGACGGTTCAGTAGCGTCACCCTATCTGAAGTTTAAAGTAAGGGAGATGACGTGTACGCCAGGTTTTTAATATCAGAACAGAATAAAGTTATTAAAAATCTCAAACTTTGGCAGGGCAGACTTACTTTGTTCAGACGGATATTCTCTCGTGGGAAGATATACCGATGGCCTTCTATTCTGTAGAGGAATTAAACAGTTGCAGAACAAAACCAGCAAAAAGGTGATTTTTCACCCAAGCACAGCTAAACCAAGCAAGAGGCCCTCGCTGCAGTGATATCCTGCCCTGTTACAGGACACCGGGTGGCTACAGCTTTTTAACACACACATATAAAGAAGAAGGTCTATTTTTTATGTTTTTCAGGACACAAGACTACTGTTAAAGAACGTTTATACACAGAAAGCACCACAGATGCGGTTGAGGACACACTCCTCCCCACAGCAAGCGGGCAGTTTGCCTTGCCAGTCTCGCCTCATGAGCCATCAGCTGGGATCACCCACGTTTTTTAGGAAATAAAATACTCCTTCCCAGTTTACGTCACTCTAGCATCCTCCGAGTCCCGCAAGAAAACCTTCCCCCAGAGCACCAGGGCGTGGCAATACTTACTGATGCTTTACAAACAGAATCCGCATGGAATCTGCTGAAGTTGCTTTTGTTGTAGACGGGTAATCCTTTCAGAAAATCTGCCTGGAGAGACACAGAACACAAACAAAGGAGGAGGTGAGGAAAGAAAGGGCCACGTTCCCGTTACGGTTCGCTTTGTGCCGATTCTCGAAGGAGTCACTCGGGGCGTTCAGATGCTGCCGGGTCCCGGCTGGCTGTCGGATACCAAACGGGTTTGGTAAAGGAAGCCAACCCCCAGCTTCTGCATTTGGCTCCTTACATCCCCAAAGCTCAGTAATTCAGCTCAGAAGCTGTTCATTAAGTCTCTTGAACCACCTACATGCCAAAAGAGAGGTCTAGGTCCACTCGGGCGAGCTCTGACAGAGGGAAGACTTGCAGGCCAGAACTCACGGCAATTGACCAGCGCAAATCACGACCCCACAGGAGAAACTGCCACGGCTACCCTGACATCTGTCCTTGAACATTACACCAGATCAACCAGTTGCTCTCTCGCTTTCCCAGTTCACGTTCTCTGTCACAGACCAAGGCCGGTTCCACGGCGCAACGCGAGCCGACGCGGCCTCCCAAGCGCAATCCCGACCGCGCGCTTCTCCGCCGGGCCCAACCGTTGCTGCTTTGGAAGGATCCACCCCTACAGGCCTCAAGGCGACCGCTACATCCAAAAAAAAAAATAACCCCAAGTCTTGCTGGGAGCGGGCAGATCACCACAAAACTGTGGATCACACCGGCCAGCACAGCTCTGGGCCGAAGAGCCGCGGGGAGCGGAGCCCTCGCCGGTTAATTCAGCCGCAGCATGAAGCAGGAATTTCCTTCTCCGAAGTGGGAAAGGAAGGCGGGAGGAGAACACGACGGGGTCAGGAGAAGAGCGAGATTAAAAGCGTGTGGGAGCCCCTCTGCTCACAGCCGAGACAAAGGAAGGTGCCCCGCAAAGCAAGAGCGGAAGGGCAGTCAATGCAAGACGTACCCGTGCGGCGAGCAGAGGAGAGAGGCCCCGGCACGTCCCTCCAAAACCACCAGACCAGCTCCCTGCACCGTGACGGTCCTTGCTTAAAGAGTCAGAGCCTGTTACACCCAAGGATTCCACTCCGGGACACCCACCACCTCGTTCATAAGCCATTTTAGAAGGACAGTGAAGCAGCAGCTGAGAAATCATTTAACTCCAGCGCTCGGAGCGGGACACAAACGGCCACCGCTGCTGCCGAGCGGCCAGGTCGGAAGGTGGTGTTTTCATTTCGAGATAAGCCGTTATTTTGATGAACGCTGCGCCTTCCATCCAAAACAAAGAGCTATAATTAGCCAAACCAGAAACTATTATTCATCCTTCTGCTCTTCAAAAGAACTCCACCGACCTTCTCGTCGCTACTTTCAACCCCTCCCCTCCGCCTGGTTTTAGAAATAATCCCGTTAAAAGAGCCGACTTGGGCTCAAACAGCCAAAATTGCCCCTTTCTCTCGCCCGTCTCACCCCCTTCCCCAGCCCCAACGCCGCCTTCCCCGGCCCTTCGCCGCCCGCCAGCTCTGCGGGACAGAGTCCACCGCTCGCCGCCTGCGCAACCTCCGGACCGCGGCAGGATCTCCCAAAACTCCGGTTCGGAGCGCGGGGTGCTCTGCCCACGCCTGCCCCCATGGATTGCTCCGTTCATCTCTTCTCACCGACGTCCACCGTCGGCACCGATGAGCGAACTAATTATATTGCTCTGTTTAGAAGGACTGAGGATCGTTAAAAATACCCCGGTACATTTCAAAGCATCTCGCCTTCCCGTGGCACCAGAGCTGCAGGATTTTTATGACAATAACCCGCTCCGCTCCACCAGCCTAATCCAGAAAGAGACAGACACGTCCTTGACTTCTTTTACTGCAGCAAAAGCCTGACAACTACGTGGTTTTGTTGCCACTTAGAAGAATGGAAAACAACTGCTCTCGTTCAGGAGCACACAACTTCAAGTACCTCTTCAATAAGCTCCAGCTCAACCCAGGTTCCTCAGGCTAGACTACTCCGTGCTTTCCAGCTGGGGATTTGGTCTGGCAGAGCCCATGTTTCCCTGGAAAGAGGCTGGACGAGCAGGATACAGCTCTCACCAGGGATTCCGCAGCCTTTTAATGGACTTCCACAGCAGAGTTAAGTCCAGCAAGTTGCAAAAATACCGTTAAAATATCAGTCAAAACACAACTCAAGTGGTGAAGGTGGTTTCCCTCCCCCTCTCTCCACCACCAACAGCCGAAGCAGGATATATACCAGCTAAACGCAAGCAGGAAGGTTACTACGCTCAAGACACTTGCAGACACCACCTCGAACAGCCACGAGCGTCCCCAGCTCTCAGCCACCACCTTTCCTTTCCTCAGGCCAGCAGTGGACCAGCTCCAGCCCCGCCAGCAGTGCCCACTGCCCAGCTAGAGCAGAGCAGAACAGCAGCGACGCTAAACCAACGCGAGGCGGACGTTTCTCCCACCCAGGCTCCAGCCAGCACGTTAAGGACATCCCCAGTTCAGCGGAGAAGCCTGGTTGTCAGCGACACACACCGTCCCTCCGATAACGCTGCGACATACAGGCACGTTTCCGTGGCCACCTGCTGATACGACCTCAGAGACTATCGAAACAGCCCCCTCGGAGGAACTGCCTGGAGTCACATTCCTGGATATTCAGAATGAGACAATACTCCAAGTGCAACGATCCTTATCTGCCCCAAGGGCACCAGATAAATGAGCCCCAGCAGGTCACTGCCGTGTTTACACACCTACCACACAAGGCACACACCGAGTCATGCCTCCTGCACAATGTCGCATGAGGAAACGCTCCCCCCCACCCCCACCCCGTGTGCCTCTCGCCACTCTTTAACCAAAGCAAGCGCACCCCGGCCAAGCGAGCGACGCTGAGGGAGCGAAAAAACCAGCACCCGAACCGAGCAGATGCCTCGTTTCCTTTGGGGAAAGGCAAACCCAAAAACCCAACAAAAACAAGTGCAATTATGCAACCTCAGAAGACAACACTGGTTCCTTCTGTGATCTGGGAAGTGAGGCAGAGATAAGATGCATCTAATGCTCCTCTGTCACCAAGGGTGCTCGGCCTCCTAGGAAGATGACATTCCTCATCTAAAAGCAGAAAGGTGGGGGGAAAAAAAAAAAAACCACAGACAGGCCCCATTCTCAGCTTTTGAAGGGAACTGCAGCGACAAGGCTCGGAAAGGCACCCAGATGCTGCGAGCAGGGTGCTGTCCCAGCAGGATGCACGCACACGTGGACGGGGGTTAGAGAAAAACCATGAACACAGGCTTGGGAACGGCCACGGGACACCTGTACAGAGAGACCTTCTTCTCTTAGGTACTGAGCTTGGGGAGGAGCAGAAGGAAAACCCTCTTTCTCCAAAAATTATTATGTTGGTAGAAAGGGAGACTGGAAGCCTCTCGGCTAGGA